TACCTGGACGACCTTTCCTCGCGTCTCTTTCTCGCGATCCTGCGCTGTACAGGTTTCATGCGATACACACGGGGAGGCGCGAGCGAACGGAATCCGACGGTGGGTTTTCGTGCTCCTGCTGCAGGTATACTCGGATCCAAAAACGAGAGGGAAAGCCGCACCAGAGCGGCTATGTGTATATAGGGGAGTCATGCACGCCTATGTGTATGTATGTGTATAGGCGCGTGATTTTTGGATCGAGAGAAGGGGACCTCGCTATGTACACTGCGCAGCGGTACGTGCGTGGCGTGTATGCACGAATTTGCCGAGCAGCGAGCGTTTGATGCATATGTTAGAGCTGCGATAGGGACATTTCCGTGAGAGCTACTGTATATACCAACCGAATTATCGTTTCGTGATCTTTTTCGAGTGCACAATTCCATTGTACATACCTGGATGTGTTTGCCATAATCGGGTACTATTTGTACAAAAGCTCGGGCGCGCGACAAGTCCATTTATTTCCGATGTAAAAGTTTATCGATATGCAGGCCTGGTATATGTACGTTTTGCATGCGTTTTAAATCTCATTCTCCATGCCCGTAGAGGATTTGGAAGCGATCGGTGAGAAGCGCCTGCGATTGTATCTCAAGTACTTATGCTTGTCAACCAGTATTAACAAGTCAAAGGAATTGACTCGTTCATGGGAATCGATGACTTGCGGGTAAGATAGGACGGAGTACCAATGATCATTTTTCAAAACGTTCTTTAAATTCAATGCACTTGTCAATCGAAGATTATTTGAAGAATACTAGACGTTTTAAATTGTTCTTGAAAATAATAGTGTGGGTACTTCAAATTTCATAAACATAAAATCAAAAATCCTCAGCTCGATGAAGTGAAAAAACCAAATTAATGGAAAAAAACTCACAATTTTGTTTCGTGCGATTTCGTGATATAAAAAGCTGCAAGCAGAGAAGTGTTTTTTGCGCGAAATCGCGGATGCGCAAAGTGATGCTGCGCCGCGACTCCCGCACAGATATACCTATATAAGTATGTCTGCCCGCGCGTCCTATCTATATAGAGTGAAAGACACGCCCTCCTCCCGGGCTACGCGTGTGTGTACGCGCGCCGTACATGCTCGTATATATGTTTGACAGCAACAGCCACCGCCCTCACTTTTTCGCTTCGTTCGAGCGCACATTTCATCGTCTCTGGCTATACGTACGCTTTTCCTTTTTTTTTCCTTCTTTTTCTGTCGGCACATATCGATTGATATGCGTTCGTTTAGAAAATTTTCGATGCATAGAAAAAGTTTGCTTTACAGACGCGAATCGACCGATCGAACTTGCAACGGCTGCGCACTCACAGACATTTCGCCAGGCAAGCGATCGGCTCTTGTTAACGTCGTAAATGTACATATAGGAATGAATTTCCTCTCGCTCGCAGTTCTCGCTGCACGTGTACATGCATGTGTGACTCGAGCCTCTCGCGCATAAGTATATGAACTTTCTGCTTTAAATTAAATTGCGCGTATTGCGCCAGGGACCGAGGTGTATCATTACGGATAGCTACTGCACAACATTCGTACATACGTACAGCCACTCGAATCATTAAGGAAAAAAACGAAGAAAATTATTATACGCTCATATAGCGCGCGCATTTGGAATATAAGTAGGCATTTTTATGTAGTTTTTTAAATTGCACGTGTAGCTCATCGTTGTAGCTCTCGAGTCTGTTCTTGCACGCGCGGAGGAGCTCGATATAAACGCGATGATTATTAAAAAAAAAACACGAAAGAGAGAAAAGATATTCGTATCAGATTACAAGCTCGCAAGTTTTATTAACAAAGCGAGCGACAAAGAGAGAAAGAGAGACGGCATAAATACAAGTGCGATATAAACCAACGTACCGATGTATAGGCGTGAGGGTAATAGAAAAAGATTCGGTATTCCTCTTCCGAGTTAAAGGGCCATTGCCGGCTAGTAGTGTACGACAACGCTAATTGCCACGCACGCACACATAGGTATAGCGGCGGCGCGCAGATGAACATCCTGCGTTTATGAAGTAGCAGCAGCATATAGCACGGCGCACGCAAGAGAACTGCTTCGCGCATCCGCTTATGATATATACCTGTATGTGCACAGTCGAGCGATGTGCAGTGCAATAATTGCGCGTGGCAAGCGCTCAACTTATGTTTATATACATATGTGTATATGTGTGCGAGCCCGTGCATGCGCACATCTACTCTATGTAGATAAGTCGCGAGTCGATGCACCGGCGTTTAGTTTATAATATAGGCGCATATCCGACCGACAAATCGAGAGGTGATGAAGCGATATTTGCGCTACGCCTTATTGGAAATTACTTCTTCGTCGTCTATTGGAAGCTATAGATGAGCCGATCCCTGCACCAATTCTACTTCACAAACTGTGCACAATTGATGAGAATTATAACAGTGCTTGAAAAATCATCATCTAATGTTTCAATTTTGTTTAATATTTAGAATGAATGAATATCGCTCGGTTAGTGTGTATAATGTAGCGATGTAAACATCCTAACCGTGATGAAAAATGGATTCTCCGTAAACTTGTGTTTCGGAGCGCTATAGTGATAGAGTGAAAAAGGAGTAATATTCGACTACCATCAAAATTAAAATTTTTAGTTTTATGAAAAATGTGGAGGGAAAAGCGCCAATGCAAACCATTTTGTCGCCCTCTCGAGCCGAATGAATACGCGGCTCGTGCATACATAGTACTAAACGACGATTCAACGAGAGCACTCATTACCTTATTATAAAATGTATACAAGTGTGGATGTGACGTACTTGCACTGTCCTGACGTAATATAATGCAAGTCAGTGCAACCGTCACTTAGACACTCAGTTGACAGGGACGATTCGCTTCGAGGAATCTTAAGTAGCAAATTTTCTCTCTCACTCTCTCGTGGGGCTGTGGTTAGTAAAAAAATGTATATATAACAATAAAGAGCAGAGGCGAGCGTAGAATAAAGTGGTAATCATCGCGACGTTGGCTCGTTTTCGTTGAGCTACATTTATATACCTAACGAGACTACAATGTCTTAAGTTCTTTTGACTTCTTTTACTTCGTGTCTGTATATGTATGTATGTATACAAGCTTACATATAACATGGCAAAGCTTGCGAAAAGCCACTTCCTCGTGGGTAGAAAAAAGAAAAAAGGGGCAAACTTTTTTTCGCTAGAAGAAAAATACGCGAACGAAAAGAGCAAGAAGGAACACCCATATATATAGATATCGTACCGGCCAGAGAGATAGAGTATGAGGTTTAAGGAAAAAGTTGGCCGTGCAGCACACAAACGTCTTGGATGTGTCTCAAAAGACCCGACGAGAGAGAGAAAGAAAGTAGAGGAGGGAAAAAAGCACAGCGAAAAAGAGGAGAGAGAGAGAGAAGTAAACTTCTGCCAGTAGTCTCTCTAAGTGTATCACATAGTAAATTAAGTTTTCCAAGATAGAGAGACTACGGCGCCATGTTGCCAAGAGAAAGATGGCGAATTGACGGTCTGTATATTATGTTTGTGTGTGTGTGTGTGTGTGTTTGGGTGGGTGCAGTTATAGCATATATGTATACGTGTGTGTATACTGATCAAACGGTCGCTAAGAGCTGAGCTTTCGCCCGGCTTAACTTATGTATATATCTTTTCGCGTGCGAGTGTGTTTGTGTGTATAACCCCGCGGGAGTGCGGATGGAGTCGGCCATCCGTGCATCGTGTATACGTGTGTATGCGTGTGCACGTCTTTTTCGCCGATCGATTTTATCGCTCTCGCGTTTATAGACGCGGCAGAAAATTTTATATCTCTGTTTCTGAACGAAAGACAAGCACTGAAAGGAAGACGACGTATTAGCCACTTTTTTCTCTTCTCCTCGAAGACTTTATTTTCCGCATTGATCCATTATCTTTTGCGAAAGGCCAATCGATATGGATATATAAATGAGCCATAAGCTGCATAGACAATGTGATGTATCTATCGTAGCGAATTTCACAAGAGTCGTAGCTAATTCGTATATAATCGATGTAAAATTGAAACGTTTTCTTGGCCATCGTCGGTGAAATTTCGCATTGTCATTTGATGGATTGCCACGATGACAACAAAGCCTTGGCTATTAAAAAAGAAGAAGAAGAAGACAAAACGAGCCTGCACCCGAGTAAAGTTACCCGGACGAGAATACGTGTACGGAGGCTGTGCGTGTGTGCGCACTACAGCCACCTCTCCGCGTGCATACACAGCTTTATATATATGCATACATCTCGTTGGCACTTTAATCGACGTCGTCCTGGGGGGATTATATCCCACTCTCACTCTGCTATAGTAGCTGCTGTATACGCGCTGCTCCGGCTGCACAGGCGGAAAGTCTGGCGGGAATAGAGACAATTTGCCCCGCGCGCGCGCAAGCCTCATGCTCGCGTGCTATGGAGTGAGGAGACACCGTCGAGAGACAGAGAGAGAGAGTAGCGAACGAGCGAGCTCCAATCGGGCGGCGCGACCAATCGCGAAGCGACGTCGTTTTCGTCGTAGCCGTCGTCGTCGTCGTCCTCGTCGTCGCCTTCCCCAACCCAACGCACAAAAGGAGCGTGACGTTCGCTCGACTGCGCAAAGAGAACGACATCGATTGCCCCCCTCTTTTAACACACACACAGAGTTTCAACCGTATATACAGCCGACTCGACGAGAACCTCGATCGCTTCTGTATGTATATATGTCATAGAAGCTTACTTAAATCCTTTTTCGTGCATTTGTTAAAGATTTATCGCCAGCTTACGAAAAATTGCTAGCTTGTGGGAATTTTCAGTTTTCATAACCTGGCTTTTACGATTTTATCTTAAAATTAAATAGCAGTACAACTGCTGTAGAAATTTATTCGATACCTAATTTCACGTAATCGAACTTTATATTACAAAAATTATAGAAAGCATTTAATATTCTTACGTTCTAAAATCCACCTCTACAAAGCTCAACTTTAATAAATATATCGTTTTTGCTTAGGTAAAGACGACGACCCAAAGGTACCTTCGAGCTTGAACTCGTCGCAAAGCAAAAAGCAGCGCAAGGCACGAACGGCGTTCACGGATCACCAGCTGCAGACTCTAGAGAAGAGCTTCGAGAGGCAAAAGTACCTCAGCGTTCAGGATCGGATGGAGCTTGCGGCCAAGCTGCAGCTCACTGATACGCAAGTCAAAACGTGGTATCAGAACCGAAGGTGAGATACGTTGATTTCAGACTGTCGGAGCTTCCTGCTCCTTAATTTTTATGATATGCATATTTTTTAAGTATCAACCGCGCTCATGGGAATGAAGGAATGAAAAAAAAAAAGAAAAAACGACTCGTATTAACGCGTATTCGTTCGAAAATATCGATCGATCGACTTGCGGAACGCTCGGTTATACAAACGGAACAGGTTTGACACTCGATAAAAAGTTATACATATACTTTCACGCATCATCGTGCAGAAGCAGCGGCACTCGATCGTGTGCACGTCCATGAGAGTATGAGTGTGTGCGTTATAGAGGATAACTTTTATGTACGGCGCGTGTCGAATCAGTAAATGGAAATCGGTGCCGACCAACAAAGCCCCTTGTTTACGCGTTTAAACGCTGCAAACTCGTGCGAGCAATTTTTTTTCGTTTTTATTCCGTTACATCGCTGTTACTGCACTACTGTTTTTAAACGTGCACCCAAAAGAGAGCGAGAGACAGAGACAGAGAGAAAAAATTAAAAAGTTTGATGTTTGCTAAGTGAAAATTTTTTGCCTCGTGCTCGAACGAGAGAGAAGATTGCTTTTTACGAGAGTGTTTATTTGATGAGTAAGAAAACGAAGAAGCAACAACAAGGAAGCGCGAAGAAAGGGTAAAAAGAGGCTCGTTCAAATATACGCGACGCTATTTTATTGAAGCATTATGTTTTGCAGCTCTTCAGCAGTAGCGAACAAACGGCCGTGATATTCAATTATCGTTTTTTAACTCGTTAGAAAGCCAAACAGATGAGCCTTAAAATAAATAAGTACAACCAAACAAGGAGCGAGGACAAAACGGTTTCTTATCGACTCGTTGGAATCTCCGAAAAAAATAGTACTCAGTTGTGTAACGTTAGACTCTCTTCGGTGTAGCTCGCGCGCGGTAAGCGCACATCGGTATTTCCCAAGGGTGGCTCTCATGCGAGAATCGCTTTCCACGCTTTTGAGCCAGATGTCGTGTTTACGCTCAGCAGAGGATAATTTACTAAATATGCATCGGGACAAACACGTCGGAATCAATTAGCCGAATGAGTTGAAAGTTAAACGCTACAGGCTATAGGATAATACGAGCCGTCTAAGTCGTTGAGAGAGCTCCCCTCGCGATCGTGCTAGCTGTTTCAGCCTCGGCAATAGACGAAACCGCTAATACTCTTAGGTCTGTTTTACCGCAAAGCAGCGCCTCTCTCGTGGGTACGACATCATACCAAGCTCCTCTCGTTTAATGCAAACGCTCATCTCTTCGGAGACTCGTCTTTACAAAAAATCAATGCGATGAAATGGGCAAGCGCGTCTGCTGCAATACGAACGAGCTGAAAGCACACGTGCGCGGGTATATGCATTATAGCATTGCAAAATTTCCTCCCTCCAGCCTCAGGAATAGGCGGAGTAGCTGCATGTACATACACACTCTCTCACGCGAATATACATACATATAAGAGCAAGTGAGAGAGAGAAAATCGAAGTGGCACGGCGCGCAGTGGCGAATCGCAGGCGCCACGAGATGACGCTGTAAATCCCGGGATAAGCTAGAGGAAGAGAGAGAGAGAGAGAGAGAGAGAGAGAGACATGCTGCAGCGGTAGCAGCTACACTCGGGCTAAAAAGGATGCCGCTGCGCGCCGCGATCAATTGCCGCCAGAGCAAAAACTCCAGTCCACATATACACACACATTCAACGCCCGGTGTTACGCCTACCCGAGATAATTAGAAAATCGACTTGCTTGTTTTCCTTTCTCGCGCTGCAATATTACATAAATAAATAGCCCGCGTATAAGATTACTTGTGCTGTAAGGGTGCGATATATGCTATACGCCTTGTTTTTATGAGCAGTATCCAGTGTCTAATACTAATATTTTTTTTTTTACCAATTTCAGAGTACGACAAATTTTTCTCCTGAATTTCTTGTTTTTTTTTGTTTACTTTTTTTTCGATCCCTTACAGAATAGATATTTATAAGGTTCACGGTCGAGCGCGAAAGTATACCACGGGCTACATCGTTTGTCTCCCGAAAAAAAGGTGGTGATGTGGTGATTCTACACAAGAGCTGAAAATATCGATTGTTCCCGCGTGCAAACTCATAATTAAGGAGAGCCGTGACTTCGAGCTAGTTTGTGTGCGCCAAGGCCGTGGTGCATTTTGATTAGGTACCATTTTTTTATTTTTTTTTTTTTTTGTAATTGTGATTGTCATCTCCTTCAAACTTTTAAACTTCAACTAAGACCTAAAAATTGTAAAAAATTATTATCTATTTTTATTTTTATGTGTTTTTTGTTTTATTTACTAATTGATTTATTTACTAATCATTGCCTCAATTTCTTATAATAAAACTATTCTAAATTCAATGTTTCTTAATTTTCAGAATAATATCGAGGTTTTCAGAAAGCTCAATGACTTGATAGTTCTAAAAATATATTCAGAGAGTCATCAGCTTTGTTATCGATAAGAGATTGAATATTATAAGAGCATTAGCAAAGTTTAAAAATGCAGCTAAAACCATCGTGGGAACATAAAGTTTTCTAAATTGCAACGCGCTCGAAATCCGTTCATATGTCATACAAATTACATAAAGTGACGTTGTTGCAACTATAAGCTCGTTTAATGTGTTCTCTTTATGAAATAGTTTCTTAAAACTACTCGAGAATATGGTGCGATTAAAATCGCGATCTATTCAGCGACGCAAGTTGCGGGAGCGTAAGGAGAGAAAAAAAGTTAGATAAGTCTTCCATAAAGATTATCGCGCTATATAGCATAATAAATTGTCGTCGCGCTTTGAGGTACCGCGGCAAGTATCATACACGTATTCGGACGTATAAAATTACGCGCTTTGTATTATTGAAATGTCATAGAATTGACAAGCGGACGATCGAGTTTTTCAAAAATTCGTAAGAAACCGACTGACAAGTACACATTTTTTCGCCCGAAAAAACCACATACACTTATCCGACGATCTGTCGCAAGTAATGCGTATGTATATATTTCTCAAGCTTGTTTTATGTTAATGGCAACATTTTATAACGAAGTACTCGATTGATCAGTAGTCAAGCGATGCGTGAAGATTGAGTTATAAATCATAGAGCAGTGCTAGCTGATGATTACACAATGTCCATATCAAGCGCGAGGTATACTCGAGTAATGCACAAGTTTATAATACGAAGTAGATGATGGTCACGTGGAGCTTCCTTAAAATAATCATATCAAATCGCAACAAATGACTTACTCTTATAAAGTAACACTTTGCTCGATCTCGTTTCGTTATATATGGACGGTGAGTTGTGTATAAGATATCATCGAGTTCTTCCATGCATAATTAAAAGTCGAGAGGTGTATATCCGCGCGATATTGCTGCTACGAGTCGTGTGCAGCATAGCGCAATAATTGCTCGGACAAGTGACAGATTACCGGGTTTTAACGGTACCACGAGGCAGCAACCGCACCCACGATCGATTCATCATAATTTCTCGATGGCACCCAAGTACTTCATCGCTACGTAGGTACGATACGAGACGCGCAGCTGCTGTTTCTGCGGCCAAAGGGAAATCTAACCATATGAATTTAATCGAAAAAGGATAAATTCGCGCGGCCGAGTAGGTTTCGCTGCCGTTTGCAGTGCGTCCGATGCAACTGCAGCAGCTGAACGCTACATCGCGCGCGACATTATAACCGTGAGAGCTCGGGTGCGCACGATGCGCTGCGGAAGAAGGTGCTTCTCTCTCTCGCTCTCGACATATCGTCGCGTCTCCGTCGCTCTGCGCTTCCCACGCCGAGTGCATGCTGCATTGCGTGTACGCGTTTGTCAGCGCACCTCGTGTGTATAACGGCTGCATTAGACACACTTATTGCGCGTGCGTATACCTCGGCGCTGAGGCTGAGCTTTTTTTGTGAGTATATCCTCGAGAGACTGGTAGCGATTTTCGAAGATCAAGTGTTAAACGTGACTCGTTTGTGCGTTTCTTTTCGGAACGGTCGTTTTATTTCTTTTTTTTTTTTACTCGTCATATTGGTGCTCGAAGATAATTGACGACAAAATGAGATGCTTATCAGGGGATTTTCACGCGTTATTAAATATTATTCACACATACATGCATAGAGTGCGTATACGCATACTCTTGGCGTTATATACTTTTCCAAGAGCCTTAATTAATGCGCATTAAACTCGACCCGAGCTAATGAATCATATCGCTCGTTGCACGAGCATGCGCAGGTGTTGCTTCTTCGAAATATATAATATCTCTAGCTGCACTCATATATCGAATTAATCGCAACTGCGATTTTCTTTCGATTTCGCGTTTGTGTGCGCATGCATTAATGCATGCACATATGCGTATAAACACGAAATATTCACGCGATATGAATATTTTCGCGCGCGTGCGCGAAAGAGAAAAGAGGCTAATTGGAAGATGTGCTCCATTGTATAGCTGGATGAGTGCGCGATATTTTCGCGCGTGATTATAATTCGCTATTCTTTCGTTGTTGTTGTTGTTATTTTTTTTTTTTTTTCAAGTATCGTTATTGTAGCATGAACGTGTATATTGCTCGATGACACATTTGTGTACATTTGCTTATTATGTGTAGCGTGCTCACGAGGAGCGTTTTTCGCGGACTCGCGTTCGTGTTTTTTCGAATTACCCGTTGATGCGCGCGAGCTCGCAAGCATATAGCTGAGAAAAGTTGCAATTATATACTCGCGGCTGCGCGCGTTTTCCATTGTTCTTGCCTTTTATGTTTATAATGCGCCGCGCTTTAACGTGACAATTATTAAAAAAATATCATTGTATAATGAGGAATCCATTTTTGTACACCTCTGCCGTGTGCCACACAAACTTCCTCTTTCTTTCTCTCTCTCTCTCTCTCTTTCTGTGAGCGGCGGCGCACATGTCCTTTCACCTCTTTCATAATTTCACCCTTCACGCTGCCTACATGGTCTGCGCCGTCGCATTATACATACGTGTAATAAAAACAAAGAAAAAACCACAGAAGCTCGGTGCTCAGCGAGGCATTTAATAATTCGAAAAATATGTCGCGCTCGACGGTTACGCGATCACACGCGTGCGCGCACACACACGTGTATAACTACGGTCGTGTTTATATGCGAAGCCGAACTGTATACGTGTGCGTGTGTGTATATAATACAGTGTGCACAACAACAGCACATTATAAATGCATTAACGCGCCGACATCGCCGACGCCGAGCGAATATTCCCATCGAAATTTTGTCTTTATTCGCGCGTTATACGTGTCCGATAAAAACGCTCGGAGGAAGATTCGCCATAACATGTACAGTTAGAGCCGTCTCCCCCGAGCTTGTGTACCGTAAATTGTTGCTCTAATAAATAGACGTGCACTGACGCGTTTACGCGCCTTCGTGTACAGCTTGTATAGGTACTTAGCACAGTTACGACAGACGTGAGATGATCGATTTGACGAAGAAAAAGTGTCTCGACGTTTTTCATATTTTTTCGCGTTAACCGATGAGCGAAACGTACACGAGAGCCAGAATTTAGTCGAACGCTTGACTTTTTTACGTTCGACCGATTTTTCGCTCGATTATCGAAGCATATGATATACTCTTAGTAGCTCTTAAATTTTTAAGCTATTTAAATGATCCATGAGCCTGTGTAATATATTTGTCTTGGCATGATCGAGGTCTTTAAATTCATTCTGATGATTTTTTTTATCGATATTACTTGTTTGTTAGCGCGTTGCATTGACACGACAGCGAAAAAAAGAAAGTTGGGAAACGTAGCGTGGCAATTGTCCGGAAGATTCTTGGGTGCCTCGACAGGTCATTTCGTATATGAATTATAGGGAAAAAAGCCGAAGGGTGAAAAAAGAGGAAGAAAGCAGGAATGAAAGAAAGAGATCGATTATCCACTTCGGGTTGGAATTGTACACCCCATTCGAGTGCCTCGGCACCTGCTCAATAATATAACGCATAGGTACACACGCACGTACAGACGCGATCAAATAAACACGCTTGTTCGAGTCATTTCGGTATTGGTTATTTACATAGCATAAGGAAACGTTTCGAGATTCAGTCGACGTAATGCGGGAAAAATATTAATGGGCAAACTCGCGTGGTAAGGTATATGTGCTGCAATCGACGAGGATGGAATAGGTGCCGAGCTACCATTGAGTATCGTCATTATAATTCGCCAAAGCTCGTGTACGTGCGGCATTCCAATACCCCATCGTAATCGGCAGCTACGAAAATTCTCATGCGGCGGGCGGTAATATAACGATATTCGCAGCTCGCAATGATTTTCAATTCTTCGCGCGCGAAATATACATAAAACGACGATGACGTACTCGAAGGATACAATAATAATCGCGAGCGATTCCTTTCACCGGAGTCAAACTTTTAACTGCACTCGCACACGCAGCCACACGGACACAAACGCAGACGCACATGGTATACAAGCTCCAGCCTCTCTTTCTCTCTCTCTCTCTCTCTCTCTCTCTCTCTCTCTCAGGCGAGTAGAACCAACCCTTTGCGGTGTCATAAATCAATGATGCTGCTACTATAAACCACAAAAGCTCGAACACGGCAATTAAGGGTGTTTTAGAGTGGCTGCCGCTGCATACTTATGCGCGCGTCAAGGGTATTAAAAAGCATTACTCATCACATAATCGCAATACACAATGGGCCAAAGAGAGAAGTGGCGACGAGCTGCGAGAGTGAGAGAGAGAGAGAGAAAGAGAGAAAGCGGCGCTAAATGTCGCGCCAAATACACTTAGATGAGAAATGATCGTATTGGCTTTTAGAACATTCGTATATTCGAGGCCTGCGCATGCATACGCACAATAATAACCAGTTTAAATGCGAATTTCATTCAAATGTATTACATGTTGGCAAGCGCGTCTACGTGTGCGTCTGCAGCAGCAGCAGCATCGGCAGCGATTATTCGCGTATGCACACTTATGTGCCTGCATTATACATTTATCTATATTTAATGTTTAATGATTCGTTGGATGATGATGATGTTAAGATTCATAACGGCGAGGGTTCAGAGCGTAGTCGAAAAGTACATTAGTCAAAAAAAAGAGTTCCACTGTGTGTGTCCTCTGTGCTGCTGCTGCTGCTGCTGCTGCTGCTACTGCTGCTCCGTTGCGACGATTGTTATGTTAATATTATGCGAGCTTGGAATTAAAAATGAATTTTCCCGTTGAATTGAAGAAGATAAGTGTGCGCACACGTGTACCATAGCGGTACCATAGCTGCAGTATGGTAATTATTACGCTTCCGAATGAAAAAAAAGCCAGCCCATTATCAATTACCCGTTTTTTCGCTCTTTTTTCTCATCGAGCTCGCTTGGCATGCATTAACAGCACGAGGGGTGACTTTCTCTTTATGCGTGTATATGTGTCATATTGAAAAAATAATATAAATCGAACGCGCTCGACTCGACCACTTTCACCCCGTTACTTCTCGAGTGCGAGTGTGCGTGTACGTGTATATCCGGTGTCGTGACGTCTCTCCGCGAAGAAAAGCGGGTACGAAAAAAAGCATCCCCATTTCATAAACTTTACATTGTTCGCGACTACGGAAGCGTGGATAATAATGATTGGTCGACTGTCTTAAGAGGATATACATTTCTCGGCAAAGGCTTTCGCCTCGAGGAGACTTTTTGGCACAATAATCGCTGGAAGAAAGAAAGTGTTGCGCGCAACACTCGCACCGAGGTAAAAATAGATATCACACCCTTGCCCCGACTTGGTTCGTTCATGAAAATGCACAACTTCGCCTCGTGCCACTGCACTGCAGCAGCGTGTATATCAACGCGTGCGCAGTCCGTGTATATCTTTATCAGCCGCATGAGGCCGAAAACGCGAATTTATAAAGGTCGCTCGCTCGCCGAGACACACATCGAGTACACGTTTATAAAAGCCTCGAAAATGCGCGTGTCTATCGTAGTTGGAAATCGGCGTAACTCGCACCTCCGCGAGCAGTTACAATTTTCCGCCCTCTCCCCTTATCCACTGGAGTAAGGCAAAACGCACACGAGCTCGCTGTAGGGACACACGTACACACATGGCATGATAGGCGATGATTAGAGCGGGGCAGGCAGTGGCGCTGGTGCACGGGCCATTTGTTAGTATAATAAGAGCCAAGCCAGCGGAGTGGCCATCGCCGATGCATGTATATGCATGCGAGCTGAGGCTGAGGCTTTTATATATATATGGGAGTTTAACCGCCCGTCGGCACGCCACTGCCTGCACGGGTCGCGCGCGTAATTGTCCGTTGATTTGCATGCCCTCTTATATATACATTGCGCGCAAGGATTTTCACCTGTCTTACGTGCACTACTAGTGTGCCTATGTGTATACACGGTATCGCTCGGCAGTCGTGTGTGGCTCTGCAGCCTTACATATATTTGCTATACTATATCTCTATATACATATATGCTATATACGTCGAGATATACGCCACCGTCGCTGCCGCCATCACCCGGCTTATACTCGTATCGACTTACACGAGTAAATATCACAATATATGCATTTCGCTGCGCTGAGAAAGATGTATCGGATGTAGACTTGTTTGTTACAAGGACAGCTTTCCGATTGCGTGTATGTGTGTGTGTGTGTCTGCCTGCGTGTACGAATAAATGAGATATATGTAAAGGACGATCGGTGCCAAGTCAATTACAGTCCCATATTATAATATGACTTATAAACTTTATTTGTAAATAACTTTATCAAATGTCTCTGTATGTTCTGATTGCAGGACGAAATGGAAGCGCCAAACGATCGTCGGCTACGAGATAATGGCCGAGGCGGGCAACTTTGCCGCCTTCCAGCGTCTCTACACTCCGACGGCGAGTCCTTACTGGCCGTATCCGGGTGCGGCCGCCGCGGTGGCCCATCAGGCCCAGAACGACCTGCTGTACCGTCAAGCGGCGGCGGTGACGCTGCAGAAGCCCCTGCCCTATCGGCTCTATCCGAACGCGCTGATGCTGGCGGGCCCGAGCAGTTCGCTGGGTGGCTTGACGGCGGCCGGCTCGACAGCGGCCCACCTCAACAATTACTACAGCTCGGCGTCCCAGAGGGCCAGTCCGACGAGCAGCGAGGCAGCCGCGCACCTGGAGCAGAGGGCCGCGGCCGAGCTCTTGCAGAGGGAGCACAGCGAGCGGGAGCGAAGTAAGAGTCTGGAGAGGACGCCGCCCCCGCCCTCCTCCTCCTCGTCCCAGCAGCAGCAACAGCAGAGAGAGTCCAGCGACACGCCGACGAGCCCGAGGCGAGACGACAGCGACGACGAGAGCATACACGACGTTTAATCAGTGATGAGCGATTGTTAGCAATATAGCAAATTTTACGTTGAATAGTGAAAATTATATAGAAATACATTTAACAACTGGATGTCGAGAATTCGTGCACGGCCGACGGGGGTGCCAAATGATAAATGCATGCATTTACTGGGACGCGCGAGATCCAGGAGGATGGCGAGGCTCGAGCGGCTGTGTGCAGCAGCAAAGTACCTTGACACCTGCCGCTGGCTGCTCTCTGCAGCCGCGCGAGTCTGCAACTTTCAATGCACGCGTAGCGTGGACGCAGTCATTTAAGAGAAATGGCGGAAGTTAACGCGTGGAAAATCGCGAACAATGCCGGAAGCATGACGTACGCTCAGGATGTCCTGCGGTTAACCGGTCCTGCGAACAAATACTATATATATGCGCTACGCGATGAAATCGAACGACGGCGCAAATACATACACATGCGTGCGTGACGTTTGGCCCGACGCGTATTATAAGTGCTGCATATACATCGCATGAGCGAAACAGATAGTGCAAGAGAAAGAGAACGAGAGAGAAAGGCGGATGGGGTTAACCCTGACCATGAAGAATTTTGATTTCGTACGCCGCTCGGATATTTTTTCTCTCTTTTATTGTCGTCGTCGATCGGGATTGCCGAGACGTTGAACTCTGTGTGTGTATGATCGTTGACCGCTCCGGGCCCTAGCTCTTTTTCCGGACAAATAATATCGATTACGGAACTGCAATGGACGGAGGATATATATATCGTTGGAAATTGTTATTTTTTTCTTTCGGTTTGCGTTCTCTCTTTGTTGAGGTATGTACCGAACGCATTACTCAGAGTCCTTTTGAGTCTTGAATTGTGAGTAATCCATCGATAATAATTGTAAATAAAGCCAAATTTTCATGAATTACCAGTGTGTGGTGTGCTTTTATTTTTCCTCCGCCAAAACAAATCGGATTGATCGTTTCGATGAAAGAACACTTCTTTGTGCAATAGTGAAAAGTCCGTGACGATTATAATGAACTTCAAAAATCTGAGAACGTTATAAAACTGCTATCAGGGATATATGATATGATGTAAATAATAATAGTACTAAGTACCTTGTGTATACGATGTGAACAGCCGTTTATCATTATTTTTATCAAGGAAACATTCACAACTTGTATTATATAAATTTTAATAATGTGTTTGTACCCTGATTTCGTACATTCAAATCTATCGAGTGTAGATTAGAAAAAGAAAAGTTATTATTCGATGGCTAATTATTCTTTCTCGAATTCAACGCTATCGAATGAACGTATGAATAAATAAGTATTTATAGTTGATATGGTATTTAAGTGAATAGTTAAAACTTAGCCTTCTAGAACGATCACACAATTCAGTAGTTGTCGCCGTATGTTTTAATGATACATTTAAAAAAAGTATACACACACAACGCTATTTAGAGTACGATACATCAGTGAAAATGAATCTCAAACTTACTTATTAAGTGAAAGTTGCGAAATTATGAATTATGAAACTTGCAATTGCAATGAGGAAGACAAGCAAAAAAAAATTAATAAAAAGTAAATTACAAAATTTTCGGTACTGTTTTCCAACCAAAAACATCATACTTATGAAAAATATAACAAGATAAATAAATGTGTGTGTGTATAGTCGAGCATCGAATAGATTTTGTGGAGTACCAGTATTATGAATGGATTATATTACCTAGACTTTATATAAAGAAAAAAAGAAAAAGATACGTATCTAAACGCGCGCAAAAAGCAGAGAGTGTGTATCCGGTGTGTGAGCAAAAATGCGTATAGATAGGTAGTTATTAATTATGCATAATATGTGACACACACAGGTTATATATTATTAATATACGATCGATCCCTGCGAGGTATTATAATATAATATGTAATAATGCGCGTCGAAAGGCGACGAGGACGATCAACCACGACGGCGACGGCGACGACTACGAGAGGATGGATTTTTGATCGATCGATCGGCGAAACGAAATTTGTCCCGACGAGGTGTATAATGTGACAACGACGGGAATTTTATATAGACCACCGAGCCGAAATTGTTTTGCGTGAAATTGGCAAAAATAAAAAGAAATGGAGAAAAGAAACAAAATTAAAGAAACCAAATCAAAAAGCTGATCGAGTTCTGTCTTTATCTTCGCCGTCACAGGCATAAGCGCGCGTCAGGAAAAAAAATTATAATTATCTTATAGTGAATCATGCTTTGTAATATATGTCTGTATAGCAAAGAATATATGGAAAAATATATTATACTGAATTTAAATTATCTTGACTCTCTTTACTCATTTTACCTATACAATATGTGTTACACCTGCCACAAGAAATGGAACCTAACATCGTTTTTGACAAGTTCGCATGTGTATTAAAAATTCGGACAGATGAAAATGATCGATAAACGGCGCAATGCTTGCTCCTTAATTATTGAAATCGAGACTTACAATCGATTGCCGCGCGTATTAAAAATCCACTTCGAACACGTGCTCCGTCTCGCTTTCTCAATTTTTCACGAACTCATTATAATTAGGCGCCGCGAGTTTTATACAATGTCGAAACAGTCGATTTAATCCCTCCCCCCCCCCCCCCNCCCCCCCCCCCCCTTTAATTCATAAGTTTGTGTTCGTTAATTGACTATTACGCGACACGAATTGTGGTTAAAATCTTTGAGTACGTGCACGTAGTAAATTGTGGCAGCAAAAATGATACGATTTTGATTGAATTTTTACTGAAAAAGTAAGAGCTTTCGGAGCGAAAATCGCGCTGAAGCATAATCGAGGACGAAGAAAATAAAAAGAAAGGAGTGACTCGAATGGACGTTAATCTAGCGCGTGCGAATCGTTTTTCACACAGGCGCGCAAAATCAAAAGCAATAGATGTAATCGTGCAGGCTTTTGAAAAAGCAGCACAAGCCTGAGCTCCGTCGTTGTCGTCGGCTACGTTTTATACATGTGAATGCGAAGCGTGACAAGGCAAGTTGAGGCTTAATCGTGTTTGCTCGTTCTTCGTCTTCGTCGACGGCCTCGTCCTCCTCCTCCTCCTCCTCGTCCTTAACTCGCAGTGTACGAAGCAAACTATTCCGTGGCCCATACATCAGCTCGTTCGTGGCCGGTTCCGCGCGCAATTACCGTCCAAAAGCCTGCGAGCTGTGTGTGCGGGGTTATTTCATTGCTATTAGGGTAAAACGAGGAGCCCCTCTCGCATGTGTTCGCGCGGCCCTACTATATATACGCGCGCAACGTTAAAGTCACTTCCAATTACGAAATATTAATTCAAGAGCTTCTCGAATTAACGGTAAAAGTACGTACGTGCGTAAGGCTTTGAAGGCTCGTAAAGATTTTTTTCTCGAATACCTTCACATAAAAGAAAGAAGGAAGGAAGAGAAAAGTGCTCGATTCATTGTCAGGTTCGTTTACGAGTTCATTACGGAAATTGCCCGTGCGCGCTTTTTTTCCTCTGTTTCAGCGAGTGAAGCTTGGCAGCGGCATCACCTGCACCGCGTCAAACAGAAAAGTGCAGAATTTCAATTTCTCAAAGCCCACGCGAGTAATATTCGCACGCGTAGCGAGTAATATTCATCGCGATCATCCGGTTATATGGGCACAGGTATTACGTATTATAAGGACGACACTTTGGAAATCGAAGTAGCGCGCGACGCGTTCGCCAAACGCGTACATTATACGCACTGCCAGAAGATACTTACGTATAGGATGTGGTTAACCCCGGGTGGAGTGCAGCTCGTGGACGAGTCTGCGAGCGGCCGAGAAAAAAGGTGAGTTTTCGCCTATGGCTTCTGACGCGAGCTCGAGTATATCTCCTCGGCCGATCGTCCTGTGCGCGTACACACGTTATGATGATGACGACGACGATACGTCGGGGGTAGGCTGCACGCGCGCCCAGCTTACCGACTGTAAAGCACGGTATAATATATCGCACGTAGCGCGCACACTTACACAGACAGACAGACACGTATATAAATAACAAAAGGCCAAAAGTATTTGCCGGCGGCGCGGGAACAGAAGCGTTAAAAGGGGGGGACCGTCAGTGGCTGTGGCTGCTGTGCGTTGCACGCGCTGCCCACGCATCCTGTATAACTTACGACTTGCTTGGATTTGTTTTCGGCTTTTGACCGCTCGCTCGCGCGCGCGTACTCGACCGCTGTTCGTTATTGTTGCTACTGCACCGCGGTTGATGGGGTTACTTCCTTTTATTCGACTCCGAGTGGGGTGTCTTCCTTCTTTCGTTTTTTTTTTTTTTTTTTTCATAATTATTATTACTCTTGTTCCGACATTTGTAATCGTTTCCTGGATCAAAGCCACTACACGAATATAATATGCGTACTTTGCGGCCGTCAAGTTTCTTTTTCTCTTTCGTTATTGAATGTCAGTCAACTCTTTGAATCGATAATTTGATTTCTTGTAAAAATTTACTCCTTCCGAAACTTTCTTCTCCAAGGTTACGAATCGAGAATAATATAATTTTTTAAAATGTTCGTAAAACTCCGTTATACTTAAAATTGTCCACCATTCGACATTGTAATCCGTTAAATCCGAAGGAGCAAAATATAAAAATAATAAGAAGGTAGTTTTAGCCAGAGGGAGTCTGCATAAAGCACTCGCACCCGTACAGTTATTAAACATGAGTCGGAATAAAGGCCGCAGCCCGAGTGAAACTATTTAAAGCAAACAGAAGTCAGTCATTTAATGTGTCACACCTGCTGGCTGTGCCTCTCTTGGGCGCCCGCGGAGGGCGATGCTACTTTTTTCCGTCCATTCTTCGCGTCTCCTTTCGAGCGCGCACGCGCACGCAAAGGCATATTATGCCACACACTGCACTCGCGCCCTTATAAACGTCAAAATCTGCCGCCACCACCACCGGGCATCATCGTCGCAGTACGTGGATGTACTTCTTTGGCCGATGTGAACGATCGCGCAAAAGAAACATCTGTCAATCACCGGTTTGGTTGCGCGAATTGTTACGTGTACAGCGCCACAAGGAAGCGCAGGATCATATAATACGCGCAAGCAACTCTTGCAGTTGTATACACACACACAAGCTAAAACTTCCTTCCTCGCTGCTACCACCGTCGTCTTCGGTCGTCGTTTTCGGGGTTAAAGACACCGATCGTGCGAACGACACAATGCGAGGCATATGATGTAACAGGCAAGCAGTCAAAAGACTCGAAAAATTATCCTTACACAACTTGACTCGTGCATTTTTATGCGTCCCAATCTCCTGCGCGCCGATTGAGAGTACAAAAAAAAAAACGGATTTGACTCTTTCGCATGTCTGTTATACTTTTGAACGGACGAAAATCAATCTCCTCGATCTACGTTTCTCGTGTCCCGGTATATTTTCTTTCACTTTTTTCCTCGACACACTTCCTCTGACAAATATTTCAAATAAAGCGCGAACACGAAAGAAGAAAAAAACAAGTCGCCAAAACAAGACGGACGATCGGCTAGCTAAGCGCGCGCCGAGAGCAAACAAGCGAAAACGAGAACCACAAAAACGAGCAAAAGTTAGGATCTATATAATATGTACGTGAAACACAGACACGGGCGCGGTTATTTCGAGCGTATAATGCGCGTCGATGTCAAAAAAGCCACCTGTCCTTGCACTATCTTGATGCCAGCTTAAAATCGTCGCTTCGATACACACCTATACTTATATGTATACCTCTACGAGAGAGCAAGAGAAGCATGGGGTTACGTGTTGCTTGTGTATGTGTGTACGTGTGCTCATCGCCTCGATGCTAATCGCAAATAAAGGAGAGAAGAGTCATCGCACGCGGACACCACTTATATAGTTAATTGCTCTGACTTCCGTTCCTATAGGCTTTATACACGCACACACATATACACACTCGCTGCACCGTACATACAACTAAATACCGTGTGCATCTTTGACCATCGAAAATTGCAAAAGGGAAAACTGCGTGAGATGATATCTATGAACTTTTGCTAGAGTCAATTTTTCAAAAGAACCATAGGTTCTTTTTTTCTTAATTAGAAACTTCCGTTAGGAGCGTACTGCGAAACTGCAGCGCTTTCCGTTTAATTTTCCTCGTATATATGTAGGAAAAACCAACAAAAAATCATAATAATTAAACCAATGCACTGGCAGTGCGCGCGATGAGTTTTTAATTTCGCTTAAATTACAAAACTTATATAATCTCATTGCAGTTCTCAAAGTCATTGCACTACTGCACTATAGCTGCAGGAGCGTAACTCACACATTTACTTGAGAAAATTAAATTTACCTCAACATCCATCACGAATGCCCCACCAGCTCACCAGGACTAGCGCCTTGAATAGGCTTGAGTAAAAATTAGGAAACTCGCGCGATGATGTTTGTTACGATTACTCGAGAATATTATATGCGGGGCTGGGGGAAAAGAGCATCCACGCACGCATATTAGGACTCGGATGCACCCACAGCTGCCACGAGCTTTCACGGATTTTTCTCACCTAATTACGCGTGGAAGATATATAACAACTATATACGAAGCCGATGAGTGCATTGGAACACAAGGATATTGCACGCGAGGCGCGGTAACAAAGGCTTGCTCGTACGAAATTTTCGGTCCGCTCGCGCGCTAATTATAGAAAGTCCTCGCAATCGCTCGCTTATAAAGTCTCGTTTTATTATTATATTCGCGTACATGTGTGTATAAGCTCGTGTGCGCATAATGTGTAATATGACGAGTTCATTATAATCTGCCTCGAAAGTTCATGCTTATTCTTTCGTATAATGCGCGCGAGCATGTGTGTGCCGTATAACGTGCCTTCTTTTTTTTTTCTCATAAATGATGTCCGATATATGTCCAAGCCCGAGAAATGCGTATCCACATATCTGTATGTATATAAGCACAACCGCACACCGGATGATGCTTATCAAACGAGAGAACTAAGCATAATTGCTTAAAAAGTTGTAAAAAATGTATTTTTAATTACAGCGCTGCGGAGAGCTCTTATTTAACGCCGAGTGTACACGAAAAAATTATGTTATTTCAAGATCGCGTCTCCGATGTATATATTAACTTAATATATTAAATATGCCGCACGCAAGAATTACGTGTGCGAGCTGCGTGCTGTAAGCATATGAATGTGCGCACATGCACATACTCACACACGTATGCGCGCGGCCAGTGCTGCACTTGGTGACGTGCCTCTCGAAGATGAATAATTTCAATCCGCAACTAAGGACGCATGTGCCCGATGAA